GTACCGGCTCAAGGGTAGGCAGCTCCAAACCTGAACTCCCATTCCCCAAAACAGCTTTACCCTTAATCCCTCCCCAAGACTCAAGGCCCACTGCGGAATGACCAAAATCAGAACACCTGGAAGCCCTGACTCCAGGTGTGAAAGACACGGCCCTGCAGTCGAAGGTTGGATGTGAGCTCATGCGATCCTAAGAGTAGAGGGCTTTGTAGCCCCCCCACGGCCACTGTTGCAAGGAGTTGCCTCAGCAACATAACCCTATAGCCACTGACAAGAACCAAGGGTTCCTTGCTAAAAGACACGGTTCATGGGGGGTTTACATCCTGTCCCATACCCCTCCTGAGTTCAGAGGTGGTGCTCCGCCTGAAAGAGAAGGGAATCCATCGTGGTCTTTCTGCTACGGACGCTGGGCCCTATCAGTCCACCCACGCCACTAACGCTGCGTGACGAGTTCCTCGCCTGTGATGTGCCACAGTTGAAGTATCTGTGTCACGATTTGGGCACTGGCATGGAAGGTGTTCGACATGTGGGGGTTTCTCAAAATTATGGGTACCATTTTGGGGTCCCCATAATAAGGACTATAGTATTTTGGGATCGATATTGGGGTACCCTAATTTTGGGAAACTACCATGTACTTGTCCATAAAGCAGCCTTTTTTTTGCCAAAGGACATCGTGGAGATGGCCGAGGCCCTTCAGGCAAGGACATGGTCAACATGCAATCATGAAAGCTCATATCATTCAGATTGTTCGAATGCAGCAGGTGTCCCGACAAAGCCCAAGTTTGCATCTGGGACTAGGGAGGATATCTACACTTGTTCGCCACAAAACCCCCCAATCTTTATGTCCATACCTAAACCTGAACCTTAAGTCTTAGGCCACGAACGGCTTGGAATGCAAGCTTCTTGCCAGGACTTGGGCGTGCAAGACCAGGCAAACTCCGCGGGTGCTCACATGAAGCATGATTGCTTTGACGAGGATCGTTTCTGTGCCTCTAGGATACTAGGTATGACTTCATGGAGTGTTCTTCTTTGCAGGAATAGGAACTGAACTTCTTGCGTCGAAGCCTTGCGCAGAGTTGTGGCTCTTGCGCGGCTTCAGGGGCTGATGTGGTTTTGCAGGATCCTTGGGAATTTTTCGAGGTCCACTTAAACTTTGGTCTGGTGGGATCCGTGTGTAAACACCGCAATCACTTAAAAGCCCAATCCCACCTAAACACTTTGTTTTGGCTAAATTGATACTGATGTATCTAATTATAGAAGTTTCCATTTTCTTTTCCATTATCCCTAAGTAACCCGTATATTACCCTCACCCGCAATGTAACCCCCATATATATATATATGTATAATTGAGAGTCCCGTTTGCACTCCGGAGTCCCGAAGGCTGCCTCTAAGCCTCCTGCTGTCTCTACAACTTCGCCATGCCGTCCCCCTCCTCCACCAATCTACCGCCCATCTACCATCTTTCCATGGTCTTGATATTAGGCTCCTAAACCTGACGCCCAGATCCTCAACCCCAAACTTGGATCAAGCAAACAACCCCAAACTTTGACCTTTCAAAAAACCCTGAACCCAAGAGCCTAAGCGCTTGAAACCAAGGAAAAAAACCGAACCTGTCCGAGGCCGCTCTGCGCCCTTTGGGCCAGGAGGGGCTGCGGCGGCGAGGCAGGAAGACACTGTTGATTCTCTGTGAACTTAATGGGGCTATGAAGGGTATCTTATCCCAGGAGAATACATGGGAAATGCCTGGAAACCACTATTTGGGATTCTAGGATTTAGGGCTGTGTCTACGTCATCGGATTGTCTGGCTAGCGGAGAATCAAAAGGAAATGGAAAGTCATACGGAACCTGGGGATTTAAATGGGCTTCTTGCCGTTTATAGGATTTAGAGTTCTTTAGGGTTTGCAGTTGGAGATTCTTTCAGTTATGGCATGGTTGCTGGACTGCGACCATATCAGAGGAGCTGTGAGATTGGTGTTAAGCACCTAGGAAGGCGACTACCGCGTGTAGGCAGACATCGGGATGATGGAGTTTCGTGTGAGGGGTTGATGGACTGAGCTTGAAGCTTCTTGCGAAAATCCGGCACACCACATCTCAATATTGGCGTGTGCTTTTCCTAAGAGTCAAGGAGCCCAACTATGGTAGGGGCCATGCAGTGACCTGTGGGTTGGGGAGTGGGTTTAGGGCCTCCCAGGCTTGAGAGTTGCAGGGCCTTGAGGGTTGAAGGCTTCAGGGCTTCGGGGTTGCCGGTAAAGGGTTAAGTGAGGGGTTAGGGTCAGGTAGTGCTTCACGTGATTCGTTCAAGTTGTGGGGTTTGGGGTCGTTCCGCAAGGCTTCGCAAGAAATCTACTTGAAGCTGATGGGAGAAGGGCTTGGAAGCCAGTCTCCTGCGTCCCCGTGCACGAATTTTATTGTCTAGGTGATGCAGAGCTTAGGATTGTTGGAGACCCGGGCATATCACCTGGGAGTTGCCTCCCCAGCTTTCCTTGACGGTTGTTATGGAGCATATCAACAAATCTGTCAGAAGCCAGAAGCTGTTAGAAGGGATGAGTTTGTTTTTGGAAGGCGAGTTGACGCCGGACGAGTCACACCGCATCCACACAGCCTTTCAGGCAGGTGCATGTGCTGAATGATCGCAATATACGGGTTGGGTCAGGATCAGGGTTTGGAGCGTTCAGAGTCCTTTTTTTTTGGATTAGGGTCATGAAAAGACTTCGGGGTGTTGTTCGGGCATCGAGATTGTGTGAGCACACAGCGCCTCGCGAGCGATTTTGATTCCTCAGCTGCCGAGGCTATGAAACTACCGCTGCCGTCAACGACTCAGTTTTGCTGTGCAGTTTCTGTGTTGTGAAGCCGGCATCTGTATCATAGAGATGCGCTTGCGCCAGAAATGGAGGTGCTACTTGACAAAAACAAAACAACGGTGCCCTTTCGGGATCCGGAACACATCAATGTTGTTGGTCAGCCTAGACAAAGCAGCCAGTTGTTGCTGCTGTGATAGTGGCGGTGCTAGCAGTCACAGTGTGGGAGGATTTTGCTGAATATCACCAGTCCCGCCATCATCACTGTTATCATTACCACTACACCTGCTGATTGGGTGCCCGTTGCTGTAGAAGTCTGCGGTGCCAAGGCAGGTATGGGACACGCCTGGCAGCGCCAAAATCAGAAATTCGGACAACGGAAAGGTCACCGTCCAGGCATAGACATGAGACGGCAGTAGTTCGGTGAGGACAATAATGTTCCTAGAACAAGTAGTGAACAAGATGATCGCCTCGTTTTGATCCTGCCAAAGACTTGTTGTCATGGCCTGTTTGCTGGGCTCTATGCATGAGCACTCACGCCACAAAGCTGATACAACATGTTGTTCCTCTTTGGAGGCTTCTTTCACGGGGTGGGCGCATGTTGCTGGTCTGGTCCAGCAAGTGGGGTACACGGGCGCCTTATACCCAAAGCTGATAAAGGAATGGAGTACTTTTCTCGATTCTATCGTGGATGGAGGAAGTTTTGCACCAACTTATTTAGCAACTTATGTACCGTATATACCTAGTGCTCCAGGAAATGTACGCATGTCGGGAATCCTAAGCAGTGCGGGGTTTCGTACATCCAACTGAGTAATGCAGAGGCTACTGTCAAAGCGCTCACGGAACTCTCGGCATCTGAAAGCCCACCTCAGATACTTCTGCAGGCTATAACTGTAGGCCCAACAGCAGTAACCTTGCGAAACCCCTTCATGTTCTTTGTCTTTGCAGGCCTTTGCATTGCAGGAGGGGCACGAGAAGAAGCGGCACGGAAACAACGACACTCGGCAGGAATCAGCGGTTTCTTCTGAAAGCCTCCAACACTTACTAGTGTTTAGTGGGGAATGAAGAAACGTATCCTTGCAGTAGTCCTCGGCTAACCCCTTGTAGTAGCCTCTATAGTTCCCTGCCAGCTTACCAGTGGTTGGCTAGTAGGGAAAAGAGGCATGGGCTATTCTAACACTCGCTCAACGGTGTTGCAGTCAGCATTCCCTTCTCTGTGCGACGTCGTGCATAGACAGCTGAGGACTTTGAGAGAACGTGACTTTGGCATCTTGCTTGGCTGCACGCTTCTTCTGATAGATCCTAGAAGTCTGGGTTTTGCAGGGTCATCCAGTAAGGTTCTTGTGGTTTCGGAGACCCATGTAAGGAGATGTCAGGTTTTGTGCGGCATTCAGTTAGCAGAAGGTCTCCAGTTGGCGAACCTGTCCAAGCTCAGTTCAGAGGTTTGGAAGCTTAGGATCTCGAGCTTGCACGCCAGGTCTCCGCCAAGAGTTGTCCGGGACTACAAGATGTGCTCCTACTGAGTACTGGCTGTGGAAGATGGGAAAGTCTGCGCCGCAAAGAAAAGAGGGTGTCCACAGTTGGCAGGCTGTTGATCCGTGTTTGTGGTCTGTGTTGTAAGCCGTTTTGGCAGAGCTGTGTGCTCTACCTGTCACCTTGTGACATGCTAAATCTTGACAGCCCGATATGTCTTGCTACTACAGATGTGTGTCTCATTTGCGAAGGAGCGCTGGACATGAGGGTTGTTTCAGGGCGTTTGGACGTGTTGATGCCAACCTCCTGCCCATCCATCTGATTTCCGAGCTCTTGAGCACTTCAAACAAGTCAGCACTCGCAGTACTACTTGCATTTGTAAAATTAGTATCACTATAGCCACTGTCACAGTAGTATCGATGGTGGTGTAATGTCAGTGGCGGTGGTATCAGGATTGCTTATAGCACGAGAGGAACATAGTTGGATAATAAAGTCCTTCGTCCGAAGGCCCCAGTGGAGGAAGAAGAGGCAAGGCTGAAGACTACATGACATGGACGTACTCTAGAAGCTTGCCTTCAATCGCCGTAAGCGTGATCACTCAAGTAAAAGGCCATGCAGGCCAGCAAAACAAACAGTCAAAGACCAGGCGCAACAACATTGACAGACTAGACCCGAGAAGCTCCGAGCGTCCGGGGCTGGGATTGCAGCGAACTGGCGTCCCCATCTGCTGACATGCAGGTTTTCGAGGTGCCTTCGTGCGTTCTTGGACTCAAATCTATGCAGGGGCACAAGATCTGAGGGCTTATTTCTGGGTGTGTAGAGAGCTTACACGAGTGATCCAAGTCGTTTCTCTCGGTATTGTCATGCAGCGGGAACCTACAACAAGAACTGCATAATGCTGTTGGTTCGTAAGTGGGAACTGAATTTCAGAAAGGTCCGTGTGTGGAAGCAGGAGTTAAGCCTCTCCACTTCCAGTTGCTGGACTGTAGTAGATGTTTTAGCTAACATGGGTGCCTGAAGCGTTGTTTTCTCCCAGTTGGAGATGGACTTCTCAAGGAAGGGTAGTCTGCAGAAATGTGTCAAGATTTGGAGCAGCACTTTGCGCTTGTTTGGAATGGGTTTTGAAGCGTCACATGTCACACCCCACATGGAAAACCTGCTGCACTCCCGAAGTTGGAATTCGATTGTGGGTCCGAATCAGCAGATTAGTCAATTGTGCTCAGCATCATCTCCAGACATGATTCCATTTGTAGGCGGGAAAGACAACACTTTCAGAGGAGCCATTGCGCACTTGGCAGGTTGAATCTGCGCCAAGTGCTGCCAGTACTCCTGCACGTGGCAGGCTGCCTGAAAGAAGTTCGAGGAAAGTTTTTTTTTTTTTTTTTTGCTGAGGGGTTCAGACTGTTTAATTTCTAAGCAGGCCATGATTCATGCGGCTGGCAGTCGAAAACAGTCGTGTCAGCATTGGTGGCAGTGGTCTTATGAAGGGATAGTCTGGAGAACAGTGACGCTGAAACCTTTTAAACCAAAGGGCTTTCTAATGCTTTCTATCATATAGTTCGTACAACAGTGAACATCTTGGCATAATGTCACGATCGCCCCAGCCCGTGTCTTGACAGCAGAGCTTGGGCTGCTGTAAGGGCGTGATCTCTTCATCAAGGTTTGCAGTTTCTGTTTTCAGGAGCCAGAAGTATTTCCCTACTCTGGGCCAGTGTGGACGCATGGAAATAAAGATCCTCAGTCACCCCAAACACCCATACCCAGATGCCTTGGCATCCTCACCTCGCCGCGTGTGCTCCTCTCTGCTCTGCTGGCGGGCAGGGAGCTAAGCGGACATTATCTGCTGAGGTCGTAGGCTTCTGTTTGCTGCTGGGGTTCAACTTTGGGTTTCGTTTGTCTGCTGCCGTTTCTTCTTCTTGTATCCTCCTCATCTCGCAGCTAGCTTGCACCACTTCTCATGCCGACTGTTCTTGCTGGTCTGCGATTCAAACCAGTGCTCGTGTTGGGTGGGACAAGTCGCCGGCCCAGACGAAACCCTAAACGGCCCAAACATGAAGCACGAAGCCACTGCGACCCCAAAACCCTCAGCCACAAACGCAAAGCTCCAGAAGCCGGGGTTCTAACTGGCCTAATGGTCTAATGATGCTTCCTGAGTTATTGAATTTCAGCATGATACAATCGCATGAGAGCCGTAGTCTCAACTCCTTGAAGGGGGTCATACAGGGGATTTTTTAGGGGAGTATTGTAGGGATTATTAAGGGGGGTACCAGCAGTTAAGACTATGGCTCATATATAGCCCTTCCGACTCGTAGTCCATAAAACAAGCAGAACGCTTAAACCCGAAGCCTCGAGATCCTGAACTCCAAGCACGAAACCTTCAGCCCTTGGAGCCCGAACCCCTGCAGCCTCTCTCAATCTGTGAATTACTACTACTACTACTACTACTACCCGCTACTGCACACTGTAAACTAGATCCACACCGCGCTCTCCCGGTAGACACAGGAAATCGGAGGGTACTCCCCCTGCCCCGGAGAGCTTCTCTGACGCATCAATGGTCGGTAGGCCAAACTAGCACGCAAAGAGGTATGTCTTTCTGGCGCCAACCATCAAAAGACTCTTCCGCAAGATGCCGGCGGCGTCAAAACCGACAACGTCATTTTGCTGGTATCCGAAGTGGACCTATTCCAGATGCCTGTTTTGCAACCGCTTGGGTTTTTGAAGGAAAATTGTGCGGAATTTGAAGGCCCCATTGTTGTGGTCGTGTCAGAATCTGGCCTAGGGAACATGTTTTTTGGCAGGCTGAGAAATGTTGACCCTTGCAGCATTTAAGCCATTTTTTACTGCTGGTACCGTCAGCGAAATGGCATTTGGAGACGCAAAATTATGTGATTTCTATTGGGAAGTGCAACGACAGCAGTCCAGATAGTGTGTAATTTCCAAGCAACGGTAACATGTCGTTGTGTCTTGCAAGAAAAGTTGTGCGGCAGGAACACTTTTTTCAGGAGCAACTTCAGCGTCGCAGCTTCTTCAGGTACAGACCTGTGGACTTAAACAACACGTCCCTGCTTTTGTGCAAAGACCTCCATTGGAAGCTCCGCACGTACAGCAGGAGGAGCTTCTGCTTCACATTCGTCAAATTGCTAGGGATAAAGTGCTTCATGTACCCCCAGAACGTTATTCTGGTTAAGGCATGGGTGCTCTGGTCACCGTATGCTCAGGGAACACGAACGTTATTATGGTTTGGGCATGGGTGCTCTGGTCACCGTATGTCCTGGGAACACGAACGTTATTATGGTTAAGGCATGGGTGCTCTGGTCACCCTATGCTCTGGGAACACGAACGTTATTATGGTTTGGGCATGGGTGCGCTAGTTATCGTATGCTCTGGGAACACGAACGTCAGAAATGGGGGTACGGTTTACAAGCCGTTGGCTACTACTACTAGCCTCCTCCTACTACTACTACTACTACTACTACTACTCCTGCTGCTGCTGCTGCTGCTGCTGCTGCTGCTGCAACTACTACTATTGCAATTCATTACTACAAATGCTACTACTGCTACTACTATTATTAATTGTTATGATTAGTATTACTGTTATCATTCTTATTACTATTTCCATTTTCATTAACATTACTGGATCCATGTTAGGGATCCTTTATACTTTTTGGGGTATGGCAGTCCTTAGATTTATGTAAAAAAGGATCCTTTTTTCTCCCTAGGGTAATGTGGGCTAAGATTATTGCTACCTTGCTGAGGCGGAGCCCTGGTTGGGCTGTTCGCGCTGTCGCATTCGAATGCTGTGAGTCCGGTGCCTCAGCCATGGTCGCTGCAACCGTTCTCGAAATTCTAGTTTCTGGTACTCCCTGTTTCAATACTTACTCTTGAAACCAATCTCCAATGTTTATTGTTCCTAATCCCAACATAATTTTACCCTTGATCCCTGTATGATTTCTAAGTTGTATTACCCTTAATCCCTATACGATGATTTCTAATTTTTGGTACCCTTAATCACTAATCCCTATCTAGTCCGTATAAAGGCAAATTTATTTTGACAGGCCCCCAGAGGATGAGATTTCTTGTTACGGCAATGAAAGGATCCAGGGAATGGCTTCCATACAAAATTACATGAGCACAATTGCCTGATCAAGCTTGTCACTGTGGCGTTTGTGGTTTTCATTTCGTTCCTCGCAAGTTGACACTTGTTTTCTGCTGAGCCTTCACTCTCATGTTTCATGTCAATGTCATAACTCTCGTGCTCGGTGAGGTCGGGCCCCGCATCCCGAAGCAAATTTTGCCTCTCAATCCTCGCCTTTATACGCCCGAGCACTCTCAGCCCAACACGGACTTTTTGACTGAGCACTGCAGGTAGTCAAGTGTCCCTGGTGGGGTCGCAAGTTGGCAGCGATCAGCCACAAGCAGCAGACTCAGCGCTTTTTGGGGTGCGTTTTTGTTGAGGGACGACGTAGGAGAAGGGCTGGTAGGCACTCCGAGATCCTTATCAATCATGGGTCGCCTACAGGCAGGGTGCACCAGTGTTCCATTTAGCTTGCTCCGCTAGAACATCGACAAGCAACTCATAACTTGATATGGTGTCTTGCCGTCCCTCAGGTACATACCCCTGGTGGAACATCATGCAATCTACGGTAGTTTCCCTTAGATTCTGCTCCATCAGCTCTTGAGGCGGAGGGATGCAGGATGTGTCTTGAGTGTGCCTGGTCAATTGAGCGGAACTTTGCCATTTACTTTGGTCGTCTTATGGTAATGGGCACATACAAGCCTTTCAGGGTGATGGTTCTCAAGATCTTGTGGTAAAATGCAAAGGCCTAAGCCCTGACGCCCGCAAAACAACCTGATGCCCAAGAGGTCTGCCAGGAAGGTGGAGAAGTTATGCCGGGGCACTTCAGCCTGAGCCCAAGGCCCCAAGCATTTTGATCAAAACCCTGCACTAAGGTTACGGGCTGTGACTTTCAAATCCGAAAGGGTGCCAACTTATTGTTGACGGTCAAGTGCCATGGTACAGAGTTTGGGGTTTAGGCAGTTTAGGTTCGGGGGTCGAGGGCCTTGCTCTGGCTGGGGGAGTTTGGGTGTTTCAGAGGTCAAGCGTCCTTCTGGGTCCATAAGGCACAGAATCTCTACCCTCTGCTTGATAAAAAACTTCGAACCAGCTATGTCTCAAGTTCGAATCGCGCAAAGACTGCTCCCTTTTCATTATGGTGGTTACACAGGATCATTATCTTCCCTAGGACCCTGACTTGAGCAGCTGCCATAACTGAGAGCTTTGCAGGAAATATGCGCTGCGTGCTCTGAAGTATCGACGACAACGCATGTAGGGACCCCGTCTCTTGATGTCTGGAGAGAAGCCGAAACCCTGCAACTGCCCTGCGTCCTCGACTCCAGTAGGTAAGGTAGCGGAAATTCCGGCCTTTGCCCCTGATTGGAATCCAGCCCCAATAGCTGCAATCCTGCCATTCCTTACAATCCCACGTGGACTTGTAGGATACCGTATGGCCCAACGGGCTCAGTGAGCAGTGGAGACGGAGGAATTGCTGTAGCATTTGTGGCACCCTAAACCATAAACCCTAAATCCGTACCCCTAGCCCCTAAACCCCTAAACCCCTAAACCCCTAACCCCTAACCCCTAAACCCTAAACCCTAGAATGGTACATGTAATCCATCCATTTCATTGCACCCGACTTGCTTCTTTCTCTCCGGGCCATCCCGAGGACCCCGTTGCACTGAAGATGGCTTCTGGGCACCACACCAGTGCGTAGCACCCAGCATTAGTAATAATCGTGGTCACAATAGTAACAATAGTAACAACAGTAATAATGGTTATTATAGTATTAACAGTAATAGCAAGAATAGAAATACAGTAGTACTAGTAGTAGTAATACTGGAAATAGTACTTCGAGCATTAGCTTGCCTTGTTCGGAGTCTTCTGTCTCATACGCGGTGGTGAGGTTTTGGCAGGTATCTCCTTGAGATCAAATCCTGGTCTGCAGGAGGAGTCACCTTGTGGGCCTGCATAGGCCATAGATCCCCCTAAAGCATAGAGTCCCAGTGAGATGCATGACATCAATATCCAAAGATCAGTATTGATGCCTTTTGTGCTTTGTCTTGGTAGGATCTAATGAAGAAGATGCCCAAAGACACTACCACCATCCAAACAAAAAACGCATATCTAAGTCTACATCCAGTGTTTGCTCCGAGTGCTAGACAAGGGACGTGCTCGTACGGACACGGGGCATTGCGGAAAAGTGAAGGGCGAAACCCAAAAACGTTAGCTACTAGTCCTGCCTGGCCCAGCAGCATTGGGTGGCATTCAAACCCCAAGAAGTGCACCGAGTCCATGTTGCCTCAAAGTCCCGAACGTCAAGGTCCTCTCCTGCAACCGCACGTGCACAGACTTCACCCATCCTGATCAGACCCGAAGGTCGGAACTGCTGAGGCCCAATCCCCAGACAACCCAATCAGGCGATGGCAGCACCGGAATGTGCTGGTGCTCAGACAAGGCGCATCCGGTGCCACGCAGAAGTTTGCCGAAGAGCTGGAGGATGTTGTGGGTTGCGCAGCTACTTCGGAAGACCCCCGATAGCCTCGTAGCATGCTGACCTGTCGCTGAGAAATTGTAGCCGCATCTCACCGATCGCCTCTGGCCACAGGGGTGTTGGGCGAATTGGGCCTGCAACACGAACAGAGAACGTTGCACACAGGAAGAGGTTTGGTGGGATCCTCTGAACCCGTTTCTAAAACCGAGGCGATTTTGAGCATGCTTGACTGTACTCAAGCCCGAGAAGTGCCGAGAAGCAGTTCAAAATCGCGTGGTCATAACGCAGCTGTCTTGTTGGCATGTGCGACAAAGAATGTGCTTCTGGTGACTGGTGGTGGTGGTGGTGGTGGTGGTGGTGGTGGTGGTGGTGGTGGTGGTGGTGGTCTTGTGACTTGTCGGCGAAAAGACCTGTCCAGGTGTTATGTTCCCATTCTGGCCAGGACTGGACCACTGGACCCCTTGTGCAAGAACTGCTTCCGAACAGCCCCTACCAGTTCCAACGTCACAGCAGAAAACTTCTCAACAGATCGATCCCATTGGGAAGAAACACGGGGTTGACTAAAAAAGGTAATCTGGAGGATCTTTTGTTCGAGGATTCGGAGAGGATTATGGGAGGATTCTGGGGGTCGCTACTAGGGATTCTGTAGTGATTTTCTGGTCCATATTCCCCCCCAACATTATTGTCTCAGGCAGGCCACCGTCTTGAGGGAAGCCTTAGCAAGCCTGGGCAACACAGCACCAGGCGCCCCCGTACTGGAGGTTTGAGGTTGGCAAGTTAGGGTTTGAGGGACGGTTTTCATAGTACAGATGGTAGGGTTTGAAGGGATGCGTTTGTTTCGTGAAATAAATTCGCTCCTCTCAACATGGAACATTCACTGTAGGAAGCCTTGAGTACTGGGAGGATGAGTCCCAATTACAAGTAGCCAGAGGTCAGCGGGACACTTAGAGTCAAGAAGATTGGGGAGCACAGGGACTCTCAATTTTCATGAAGAAAGGCAAGGGCCTGGACTGCACACGAGGCTGTTTCTCTGGCGCTGCCGAGCTGATTCTGTGACAGATGCTCTCATGTCTTGCGGATCAGTGTGTGCGATCTCAGCCACCGCATTTTGCAGCCGCTTGCTGTGCACGCAGAGCTGAGCATGCAAGCCTCCAACTTTCTAGCTAACTGCTGCCGATGGCCCTCAACGTGAGTACTGAGAGAGAGAGAGAGAGAGAGACCTTTGGCAAGAATTTCTTCCAAGCGTTTTGCGCCATGGGCCAGAGTCTCTCCAGATTGTTCAGCTTCTTCGGGGTGAGCCAAGCCCCACTGGCTGATGAAGACGAGGACAATCCCAAGTGAGCCAACTGCCACCCCCCGCCTTTCTACATGAAGCAGAGGAGACTGTGGGAGCATTCGCAGCCCCGATTTAAACTTGATTTTGGAGGATGTGCCCGAAGCCTGCCAAAGATACAAGCCGTGCCCCGCCTGCAGCTTTCGAGGCAGACGTGTCCGACTTCCAACATGCGGGTCCAATTTTTGAATAGTTCGTCTTGCAGGAACATCGGAAACCAATCCCCACATCCTCTTACTGGAGGTTAGTAGGGAATATGGGAATCGATTATATAGGGATTATGAGGGATTATATTCCCTTATTCCCTGCTCACAACTAGTAAGTCCTGCATCTGGATTTCCCAGCTGCACAAATGTCGAAGGCCCGTCTATGACTTTGCTCTCCAGCTCCATCTTGTCTTTTTCGCATGTCTGCATCCAGCCCTGTGTTGCTTGCTTCATGAGCTTGAGCTCTAACCCAGCCCCGTGCTAGCTGTTTACTGTTCGTAGATATTCTGCACATTGCCATCCTCGCAAACCTCTCCCGCATATCTCTAATACCGTGGTTTGGTAAAGACTTGATCCGAGGTTGCGAAAGCATGCAGAGCTGTTTCGTGGCCATGTTCTCGAAAGCTGGGTTGCTCCCGAACTTACGGAGCCTTTCTCTGAATTTAAGTGAGAGCAGGATCAGTTTGTATTCAGCACGGTTTAAAGCCTGACCCAGTATGTCATGCACAGCTCAAATCCGGAATCCCCAAACCTTGGCTGTAAACCTTAATCCCAACAAGCCCTTGACCCTCTTTTAGTGATTCCGGCCCTAGAAAATAGCTGAGGAGATTGTACGGGCCTGCAAAACGGGCTTCAACTGCGAGCCAAAGGAGATTTGCCCCCATCTGCGTCGGGGGCTGAGCAAGGAACTAAGAGGTTTATTGAGTAATTGCGTGAGGCTACCAAGTAAAAACTCGGCAGGGCTGCGTACATGTCCTACATGGAATCAAAGAGCAGTTGTACGAGCGTTTTTGAAGTCTACAGGGCTTGTGTGGCATCTCGAGAGTTCTAAAGCGCAAGTCCAATGTGGATGTCAGCTCAGAGGGGAAACCTAGGAAACCATACTCCAGCCAAAGGGAGGATCTCATACCCTAAACCCCTAGCCCCAAACGCTCCCACCTTGAACTTCAGACCCGAAATCCCAAAAACTCGAACCTGAAAAGCCTAAGCCAATCTCGCCGGTCTTTCGATTGGGTTGTGGTCTACTGTGCCTATCAAGAGGTGCCAAAGTCAAGGGTTGCCTGATTTTGGTGCGAAGGCTGTTGAAACGTGACTTGAGGCGGAACATGATTTGGGGGCAAATGCTTGAAAGTGCATCCAAGGCTGCTTTCATGGAGAGAAGACATGAACATGTTCCACAAAGTAGCAGTCAGTCCATGTTTTGGGGTTTCTCAAGTCGCGGATTCTCTTCAATTTTGAGGGGCACAGAGTGTCATAAGCCCAGCAGATTGCCGTTTTTTTTCTCAGGTGAGGAGGTGGCAGGGGTCTACTCATTCCCATGCTTCACCAAAGAGTTCGTCTCGTGCTTCAACGAGGAGATCTGAGCCTGAAACCCACGAAGCGGCTTGAGGGGGGATAGAGCTCACAAACGCTGATCCATGAGAACTAAATCGTTTTTTTTTTTGATCCTTCATCCGGATAAAGGGGTTTGTAGGATTTCATACGCTCAGTTGAAGCTGAGTAGCTTCTGCGGATTCCCTCACCCCGAACCTTGAACAATCAATTCGAATCCTTGGAGGCACGATATGTTTCTAGGTCAAGGGAGGTGGCTGAGGTTTCGGATGTGCCTTCGATCTGAGGCAACCATTTACGGACATCGCGATTCTCTGTCAGAATCCATGGGGGTCAGCACGTGAGGATTTGTCAGGCCCAAGGCGTCTGTGAGCACTCCCAAACACAGCCCAAAGGCGTTAGGACCTAAACATTGAGGAGATTGCCAACTTTTATGCTTCTGGCATCCCTGCGCGCCGGCCGAACTCCATGAACAACTATGGAAGCTTGGCTGACACGATGCAGGATCTCCACAAACCTTCCTCAACGCAGTCGCAAATCAAGATCAGAAAGGTGTACTACCGTGGTTGGGAAAGCAGCGTGTTGTTTGAGTAGTGCCAGTTTTTGGGTCGCGGTACATTCATGTTTTTTTTGGATGCGTGGATCGAGGGGACACCCAATCTTGGTACATGTCGGAGGGGGAAGCTACAGGGAATGTCATCCACGGTTTGAAATGCTGGGTGGTTCTGTATCGCTCAAACAGAGTGCGGATGTCAGGGTTTAGACTCCTGACTTTCAAGAGTTTGTCGTGCTGATCTACCTAAGTGATCTCATAAATGCCCAGGTGTCATCGTGAATGAAATTGGCATGAAACCAATGATCACCGAGTTCCAGCAGAAATACATCTGGCCAATCGTGGCCTGGCTGCTTTTACTTGCGTTTGTATTTGGTAGTCCAGGCAGTTGTGAACAAGATGTCGTAGATCCGGGAGCATTCCCATTCACAGCTTCTCCAATGCAATTAGGGTTTGGAACAGGAATTCCATCTGAGGCCAAAGTGCTATTCCCAGAGCAGGCCAAGTCGTGCATCCGGTTTCATCCTATGCCTCTTTGTGGGAAGCCAGATGACAACTGTCGGAATAGTTTCCTGGGGGGGGGTAGCTAAGGTGTGTTCAGATAGTGAATGCCCCTTGCACAAGTTTCAGGGGCTACACTCAAGTGATGCACCAGTACATGTGCTTCTGCCGGAGGGCTCGCAGTTTGATGACCACCACTCCTTCATCGTCCGATATACGGCTTCCGAAGATCTGGGTCTAGACATGCATACGGATGACTCCGCGCCCTGCCTTCACTTCAGGTATTCAAGAATCCCCCGAAAGTTTCGTCAGAGTTCTGGCATGGGTCATGTCGCTTATAGAGCTTCTTCAGAGTTCAGTCGGCAATCATTTCAGATGTGAAGTCCGAACAAGGGATCTTTTCCAAGCGCAGTTGAGGCAAATCAAGCCTCTGATAGTGCTTGTTACTTACTGCTAAGCTGTTCAGCAGGGAATACAGGAATGGATTCTCGGAGTGGCTCCGCAGCAACAATTGCAGTCCTAGCCACAGGCGAGATCGCGATAACATAGTAGGAAATACAACCCCCTATAACTTCCTATAACCATACCACCACTCACGTATGTGTATATGTATACATATATATGTAAATATATGTATATACACACGTACCTATATTAGATACCCCCCGACAGTACACCTCCTGACAATGTATGCCTTGAGTCCCTGGCCCAGGGAGGACATGGGAGGCCCTCCTGCAAAAAAGGGTATGCCTAAGGGACCCTGGGCACGTAGAACGGCGGTTGTGGGGGTCCGTATTGGGGTGTTTACAGAGAGAATGTTTCGAGACACTCCCATCTCGCACCTTTTGGCTTTGAAGCCTTCACCTCTTAGAAGATTGATGTTGCCAAGTCTGATTCCATCGCGCCTGAACTCCAAAGTCTACATCCTGAAGCCAAAGCCTAATGTTTAAATCTGAAAGCCCAATCCCCAACCCCCAAGGCCAAAACTTGAAATCCCAAGCCCCAAACTTTGAAACCCCCAACACCCCAGGATCCAGAGCTGTAGCCCCCAACATCATGCCTGGACCCTTCTGCCTTCGAGGATGTCACATTCAACGTTTGTTTAGGCCTGGGCCCTGCTTCCGAACAGTTGGGATCTTTGTCTTGGGGGGTCCCATAATGCGGATCGGAATGTATTGGGGCGCGTTTGGGGGGGGGGGGGNNGGGGGGGGGGATGGGGGTGGGGGCCTCATTTTTGGAACCCCCGCATGGCAGGTACAGGGTTATCAGAGGGTTTGGGAGTAGAAATAGTTGGAGTTTGTTGCGTGGGAAGTCTTGGAATACTTGGGTGCAGGGGTTTGCGTTTAAGTCGGCCAAGTAGGACCTTTCTTGTCTAAGAAGGAGACTTTACACCTCACACATTTACGAGCACTCTAAGTACCATCATGAAAATTCTAGTTTGACTACTAGCTCCGCTTTGGCATCCTCACTTCCTATGCCGCCCACGTTTTTTTGCGAGCTTTGCGTGCGACGCATGGCAGGTAGCTTTGACCAATTCAATGCTCTCCTTGTTACAGGTGCAGGTCAATGTTCTCCTGCATGCCCTGACAAACCAATGCAGAACCCTTTCAAATTCCTGAGCTTCCGGGCGTTGAATTCAGGAAGCTACTTCGCCTTCCTATGCAGATCGAGTGCAGCTACCTTCCCCCGTAAGATCACGCAAACAGGCAAATCTTGGTGTAAACCAAGCCCAACAAAACTCGAACACGTAGATGTTACGAAGCTCCGAATCCTTCAGGTCACGAGTTCACAGGTGCTACTCTGACCTTCTGTGGCTACATGGGCAAGTCGGACCACCGTAAGGTGCGGGAGCGGGTTCAGGGTTGGGATTTCAGCATTCAGGGTGCGCAGGGCGCGTAGAAGGTAGTGCAATAGGAGGTGTTTTCCTCCAACTGGTCTTATTTCCTGACAACTCCGCTCCTATTTACTCCTACTAGAGAATCAACACCACTACTACTCATTCTTGAAGCTGCAATGCACGAAGGCCTCCCACGTCTACTCGCACGAGGCAGGCGGCAATCTGAGTTAGCTGTGACTTGCTGAGGAGGGGCTACTGTAGCAGCTGTACGGTTGTCTTTGTAACCATGTACTTGTTTTGGCAGTCCTACAGCGTACCCCGGACGCATTTGGAAGACGATTGATGAAGCCAACTGAGCCTGGCTGCAGGTGGGGCGTGCGGTTCTGCATTTGGGCAGTCGGCGGCATGGCGCAGACGACATAGCCTCGGGCACGCGGATGAATCTCATAATTTGGTTGCCAGGCTGCACATAGCCAGCTGCCGGAATCATGTGAGTGCGATGTGATGACGAAGGATCAAATATCACGAAGCCATTCCAGTATGTCATGTGGACAGCTCCTTGCATGTCCAATTTCTAGCATGAGTTGTCTCCGCACTGCAACAGTACAATGACTCGCAATAATTTGCATTGTTGAGACATCACGCCACACATGTTACTTGCCTACAAGGTCTCACAACAAAGCTTGGCGACGAATACATCGTCTTCGGTTAAGCGACGACTACGAGCGCCTTACCTTCGGCTGGTAGGTTCCCTGAAAATGTGTTTCCTTCCACTTGCTGAGAAGTAGGGGGAGTGGATCCCTGAAATAATCCTGGTACAATCCTTTTGAAGAATGAAGCATCAGTACCACGAAGTGCCAGTTCCAAGCCCAGGAAAGAGGAAGGGCCTCCAGACCCGGTCTGTTTGAGCACCTTGGCCAGGAATTTGTAGACCAACAACTAGGGGTCCCTTTCCGTGATGAGAAATATAGTGTCTAGGGCTCTACACGGGGGGACGGAAACCCCAACATGGGTTAATTTCATGCATGAGACGTCCATTGATGTTGGGCTCCATGCAGACTATACTGGTGGAACATGCTGCCACGGGCTCGGGGCATTTTGGGGCTTGGGATCCTGATCACACAGATCCTAGTATCTACGGGGTGCAGGGAGTTTCCTATCTAGAGGCATGGCCCTGCAGTACTGAAGGTAAATGGAATAAGAAGAAGAAGAAGGTTCCAACTTCAGTCATAAGTAGTCTCGACGCTTTGTTCTACTGATTAGAACCGTACACTCTAAACCCTCCCCTCAGCACGTGAAATGAACGTGTCCTCCGCGGCGAGACTTGTAGCTCCCAGCGGACTAGTCCCAGATGCTGTTTGCTAGCACCTGAAGTAGCTGCAACTTTATCAGGACTGAGGCATGTATGCCTTGCCATCGGGAACTTGTGGGTTTCAGAGGCCTGTTTCAGGAAGTTGGCGCCCATAATTCGACCGACGTATTACTACTAGTAGTAGTAGATGGATTGAGGACGAGCAAGACGGTCCAATTGTCAAGGACATGGGTGCTGGGGTTCGCCGCTAAAAGATGACTGCAGCTGAGCCTCGACAACGCCTCAAGAAGTAATGCTTATCTGCTACATAACAGCTTCTTCTGAACTCACCCCAGGTTACACCCATGACCGCGACTACCTGGCTTACAAGAAGAAGCCGGTCGGTCGAGCGGCAGGGCGGAATCGGGCCTGGATCCTCGCCAGCAGGAGTGCCAAGAGCAGTGCGCTTCAAGAAATGCGATAATAATCTATCATACAAACAATATGAGAATCCATTCCTGGGGCCCCATATTGAGGATGTTTCTTCAATAACGAGGAATCAGATGGAACAAAACAAGGGAAGTGATGGAGAATGTTTTTTTCTGGAAGCCACCAGTACTGTTGGGGCGGGTACCTCCAACCAGAGACTTTGAACTGCAATTAGAGGCTGCTTCAAATCATCATTCCGTTCTGGGCGTCTAGCAAGGATCCCACTGCTTTCATCTATACAGGGCACCAAATGAAGCCATCGTAACGACAACACCTTACCTCTGGTTTGCAAGCAATGAAGACATGGATCCTTGTAGCAGCCCCTAGACAATCCCCAATGTTTTCTTTTTTGCAGTCCTTCATTCCCAGTTAATCAGAGGTAAGCATTGAGCAAAGGTGCCCACCGCCTGGCATGGAGTACGAGGGCTTCGGCGATGCGCTGAAGGACAAGGATTCAAAGGACCAGGATTCCAATCTGTGAGCTGCTTGCCAAAGGGCCTTAAGACCAATGCCAGCTACGATTATGGTAGGGGTGGAAGTTAAGGGAGTAGGAGGTAGGAGTATTTCTTAGGAGTAGAACTGCTTCTAGCATCATGCTTTTCTCACAGGTGTCGAGCCTGCTACATTTTTTCCCATCATAATCATCATCATCATCATCATCATCATCTGTGAAAATGGTAGCCCGGAACTGCCACCCTGAACCTGAAAGGAGAACCCTAAGAACCCTGTTCTGAAGTAGGCCCCGGGCCTCTGAAGAAT